TTCAGTCAGCCAGGGTGCTGCCTGCTCGAGGTCTGTAAGAGAACTCACAGGGTAGAATGATATCATCTACGTATATAGTGAAGTAGAAGCATTGATGCAGGTCGCCTCCAACTTTCCAAATCTTGAATGACTATGTCATGACGATATAGGGCCGTGCAAATACCCCATTGGCAGCACTGCGAATGTCCTTTGTTTTCTTTTCTGGGTGAATGCAAACTGGTCTTGACAATCTGCATGAATATTGATACTAAGGAAAGTATTAGCCAAATCCACTACAAAATGGTATGTGCCCAGTTGGGTCCCTAGTTGGACCAAGATGTCAGCAATATTGGGTGCCATCTAAAGAATCCTTACTGTTGGCTTTTGTAGTTTAGGTTTTGTATAATGCACTCAGTGTTGCAGTATCACCCACAGCAGTTAAGATGTAGTCAACGGTAAACAGATTCCAGCAATAAATCAAGTTTTGTGTGCATTCCTACCTCGCCTTGAGCTCTGTCTGCATTGTGTCTGAGAGGAGAGTAGTGCTGACCAGGACTGGCCTCTAGGGACTCTGCACACTTTGGTTCTGCCTCCAACTGCTTACTTGCTTGCTCTTATCTTTGGAGTTTGAGCTTCCTTCCTCCCACACCATATTGGGTTGCTTATCTATTTTTGTTAGGATCCATTCAGCCTTAATCAGATCTATCCAACTTTGCTGTGGGTCACCTTTATGGGATCCCCTGTTGCTTTTTTTCCTTTTTGGGTTCTCTTTTACTGTTCAAACTCCCCATTTCTGCCTAATCAAATGCATTTCTCCCAGGTTCACTGTTGTATGCACGACCACCTACCTGTAGGGACAGCACAGATGGCAACTGTTTTCCTTTCACTTTTGCAAAGTGTCATGCTAAGTTGTGCAGCTGGTTGCTAGACGGCGCCAGCCAGTGATTCAGCATGTCCCTTCTCTCTGCCTGAGTTTGCTGAGTGTCTCTTTCCAGTCTGACTCCTTGTGCAATTTCTACATCTGGTTCCTAGTAGCTGTCTACTGCCTGGTAGCCACTTGGAGAGTGCAAACCAAGGGTTATCCCTCAGCTGCTGTCGCTTTTCTTCTGAGAATGTCTTTTCTCATCCACTGCTTTCACTAATTCCAGCAGTATGGCTGGAGTTTTTGGGGCATCACTGTCAAACTGGCAACTTTTTTTTGTTGTTGTTTAGTAAAACAGGTTGTGTCTGTTACTCATTCTTATTTATTTATTTATTTGATTTTTTATTTTGAGATTGTGGGGTACAATTCAGGGTTAGGTATACAAATGTTTATTATGCAGGTACCCTTGTTGATGGGTTGTGCTTCTTCTCTCCCCCTGACAGTTTCCCACTGCTGCCAATTCTGGTCCCCGCTCCTCTGGCAGTTTCCATCTACTGCCAATCCCTTTCTTATAGTATTATGATAATTGTTCAAGGTTCACTTATGACTGAAAACATATGGTACTTAGTTCTTTGCTTCTGTGATAGGTAACTCAGTATTATAGACTTTAAGTCCATCCAAGTTGCTGGGAAGTTCATACTTTTGTCCTTCTTTATGGCTGCGTAATATTCCATATGTATATGTACCACATTTTTTTGTATCCAGTCCTCTTTTGATGGGCAGCACAGCTGGTTCCATGTTTTTACTATTGTGAATAATACTGCAATAAACTTTCATGTGCAAGTATCTTTTCATAGAGTGATTTGAGTTCCTCCAGGTGTATTCCCAGTAGGGGGATTACAGGGTCATGTGGAAGGTTGACCTTTAGATCTTTTAGTAGTTGCCACACTGTTTTCCACAGAGGTTGTACTAGTTTACATTCCCACAATCAGTGTAGAAGTGTTCCCTTTTCCCTGCATCCTCTCCAGGATCTGCTGTTTTTTGAGTTATTGGTGATAGCCATCCTGACTAGAGTTAGGTGGTATCTCAGTGTGGTTTTAATTTGCATTTCTTTGATGACTAATGAGACTGAGCATTTTTGCTTTGTTTTTTTTCTCTTTTAATTTTTATTTTGATATTGTGGGGTACAATTCAGGGTCAGGTATACAAGTGTTCATTGTGCAAGTACCCTTATTGATGAGGTGTGTCCCTACTTCCGCAGGTAGATATTGACTGCCGTCAATCCCAGCTATCCCTCCTACCTCCCTCCCTGCAGTTTCCCGCTATTTTCAATCCCTTTCCTACAGTAATACGGTAGTTGTTCAAGGTCCACTTATGAGTGAGAACATGTGATACTCAGCTCTTTGTTTCTGTGAGAAATCACTCAGTATTATAAGCTCTAATTCCATCCATGTTGCTGGGAAGTTTATGATTTTGTTCTTCTTTATGGCTGTGTAATATTCCATTGTATATATGTACCACATTTTTTTATCCAGTCCTCTTTTGATGGGCAGCATGGTTGGTTCCATGTTTTTGCTACTGTGAACAATGCTGCGATAGACATGTGTGTGCAGGTATCTTTTTCATAGAGTGACCTGAGTTCTTCCGGGTATATTTCCAGTAGAGGATTTGCGGGGTCATATGGAAAGTCAATTTCTCAAGAGTTTTAGGAATCACCACACTGATTTCCACAGAGGCTGTACTAGTTTACACTCCCACCAACAGTGTAGAAGTATTCCCTTTTCGCCACATCCTCTCCAGCATCTGTTATTTTTTGAGTTGTTGATGATGGCCATTTTGACTGGAGTTAGATGGTATCTCAGTGTAGTTTTAATTTGCATCTCCTTGATGACTAGTGAGGCTGAACATTTTTTCACGTGTCTGTTGGCTGCTCGTGTCTTCTTTTGAGAAGTGTCTATTCATATCTTTAGCCCACTTTGTAATGGGGCTGTTTGTTTTTTTCTTTTTAGCACGTTTGAGTTCCTTGTAGATCCTTGATGTTAGGCCTTTGTCAGACATGGAGTTAATAAAGGACTTTGGCAAAATCTCAGGGTATGAAATAAATGTACAAAAGACAATCGCATTTCTATACACCAATAATAAACAAACAGAAACCCGAATAAAAAACATGATTCCATTTACAATAGCCACACACACAAAAAAAGAAATACCCTGGCATCTTCCTAATCAGAGACCTAAAAGACCTTTACAATGAAAATTACAAAAGAAATCAAAGATGACACATCTTGATTGACACACATTGAAAAATATTCCTTGCTCATGGATTGGAAGAACCAACTTTGTTAAGATGTCTATTTTACCTAAGACAATCTACAGATTTAATGCAATACTCATCAAATTACCAGCAACATTCTTCTCAGACTAGAAAAAACAATACAGGAATTCATATGGAAACATAAACGACCAAGAATAGCCAAAACAATCCTCAGCAAAAAAACAAAAACAACAAACAAACAAAAAAACAAAGTAGGGGGTATCACACTCCCAGACTTAAAACTATACTATAAAGCCACAATAATTAGAGCATTTTTTTCATGTATCTGCTGGCTGTTCGTGTGTCTTCTTTTGAGAAGTGACTATTCATACCTTTTGCCCACTTTGTAGTGGGCTGTTTGTTTTCTTTTCAGCACGTTTGAGTTTGTAGATCTTAAATGTTTGACTTTGTCAGATATACAGCTGACAAATATTTTTCCCCAGACTGTGGGCTGTCTCTCTGCTCTCTTGATGATTTCTTTGGCTTTGCAGAAGCTTGTCAGTTTGATGAGGCCCCACTTGTCTAGTCTCTTATGGCATGGGTACTTGGGGTTCTGATCAGGAATTGGTTGCCAGTTCCAGTTCCCATAAGGGTGTCTCCTGTGTTTTCTAAGGTTCTTATAGTTTGAGGTTTTACATTTAGGTCTTTGATCCATTTAGAGTTGACTTTTGTGTATGGTGATAGGTAGGGGTTTTGTTTTAATCTTTTGCATGTGGTCAGCCAGTTTTCCCAGCCCCATTTACTGAATAGGTTTTCCTCTCCCCAGTGGTTGCTGGTGGAGTCTTTGTTGAAGATCAGTGGTAGAGAAATTGAGGTTTTGCTTCTGGAATCTCTGTCCTGTTTCGTTGGTCTGTATGTCTGTTTTTGTACCTATACCAGGCTGTTTTGATTATTGTAGCTTTATAATAAAGTGTAAAGTCTGGGAGTGTGACACCTCCTGCTTTGTTTTATTTTGCTGAGGATTGTTTTGGCTATTTGTGGTGGTTTATATTTCCATATGAATTCCTGTGTTGTCATTTTCAGGTCTGAAAAGAATGCTGCTGGTAATTTAGTGGGAATTGCATTAAATCTGTAGATTGCTTTGGGTAGGATGGATATCTTAACAATATTGCTTCCTCCCATCCATGAGCATGGAATATTTTTCCATTTGTTTGTGTCATCTTTGATTTCTTTGAGCATTGTTTTGTAGTTTTCAATGTAAAGGTCTTTCACTTCTCTGGTTAGAAAGATGCCAGAGTATTTCATGTTGTGTGTGTGGCTATTTTGAATAGCTAAGTGAAATAATCCAGTCACACACACACAGAAGGCAAATCCTATCTGATGCCACTTACATGAGGTATGTAAAGTAGGCAAACTCATGGAAACAGAAGGTAGCATTGTGGTTGCCATGGATTGAGGGGAGTGGGAATTGGGGAGTCGTTCAGTCGCTATAGAACTTCAGTTTTGTAAGATACAAAAGTTCTAGAGATTGGTTGTATAACAAACAATGTGAATATAATTAACATTACTGAATTATACACTTACAAATGCTTGAAATGTATGTCATGTGGTTTTTACCACATTAAAAAAAAAGACAAAATATGCTATAGGATACTAGGTTTTACATTTTTAAAGTAAGGATTTAATGTCAAATTGACTTGATTTCCATTACATGTTTAAAATAAATCCAGCCCATTATAGAAGTAAAGAGGGAAGGGTCCTCTTATTTGATATTGTTAGAAAAATTATCAGTGGTATGTCTTCCTAAAATTTTATATTTGTGCTGATTTGTATTTAGATTTTCTTCTTGTGGCTGGCATACTATCGTAACTGTTCTCTCTCTTTTTAATTTTTATTAATTCTTAGGGTACATTTAAGTTCAAAGCAGAAAGTGACCTTTTCCTTGCTGAGCATCACAAACTTTTATTGTATGATGGCAAACTCTCTAATGCCATTGCATTCACATATAATCCACGGGCTACAGATGCCCAGCTTTGCCTCGAATCATCTCCCAAGGACAACCCTTCAATTTTTGTTCATTCACCTCATGCACTCATGCTCCAGGTACAAACTTTTCTCTTTTAAGAATAATTTAAATGGTAATTTTTGATGTACTATTGAGGGGTATTTGGTAGTTTCTATTAAACACACGGAATGTCACATTTTAGTGTTCCTGTGTTAACTGTTGTGCTTTAGTTTTATTTGTTTTTGAAAAGAAATTATTGAAATCTCTACTGTGTTTTTTATTTTACAAGGATGTGAAGGCAGTTTTAACACATTCTATCCAAAGTGCTATGCATTCAATTGGAGGAGTACAAGTACTGTTTCCACTTTTTGCACAGTTGGATTATAGGCAATATTTGTCTGATGAGGTTGATTTGAATATCTGGTGAGTGCCTTTATTTTTTTTTAATTTGGTGTAAGATTTATGTTCATGACTGTTGAGAAATCTCTTCTTTGTCTTTCAAGGTTGATGTAGATTCAAAATAGTTTAAGGAAATTTATGAACTGTAAATAGTATTAAAATCTGTATCAGTTATATTAGTATTAATTTAAATTTGTGCTTATCAGTAGGAGATATGGAAGCTCTAAGAAATACAGTAAGGTTGTTTTAGAACAAAGTTATAAGTGGTGATAATGGATTTATAAAAAAATGAGTACTTTTTTTGTCTGAAGCTTTAATTTTTGAAATGTTTTATATCTTATCTGGTCATTATTTATCATGGGAATTTAGCTTTTCATGTTTTAATTACTTATTACTGACTGCATGTATGTAATTGAAATACAAAAATTTCAGTGATGTTATATGAGGTAATTTTGTTTGTTTAAAAAAAAATCAGATTGTACATTTGGCACATTTTGTCACCTGTGTTGTAGTGGTGAGTCTAAAAAATGCAGAGACATATAAATTCTAGGATAAGTTATAAAACGTAAGAGAGGATTTCTAAATGAATTTTTTTTTTTTTTGAGTCAGAGTCACCCCAGTGTCGACCTGCTGGGCTCTGGTGATCCTTCCGCCTCAGCCTTCCAAGTAGCTGGAACTACAGGCGCGCACTACCATGCCCGGCTAATTTTTTGATTTGTTGTAGAGACGAGGTCTCACCAAGTTGCCCAGACTGGTCTCGAATACTTGGGCTCAGGCAATCCTCTCGCCTTGGCCTCCCAGGTTTGGAGCCACTGAGCTCGGCCTCTAAATGAATTTTTTATGTCTATATGTTCTAGTGAAACTATATACGAAGGGGAACCCAAAAAACCCCTGAATTTATTTACAAAAAATTGTGTAATTTATTCTTACATGTTTAAACTTCAGTCACCTTCAGAGTGATGTAATATACCTATCAAGACGCTTTTTCCACTGCTCAAAACAGTTTTTGAAGTGCATTTTGATGCCTTATCTGCCGGTTTCTGTCTCCCCTCTTCCACATAGACAAAACATTTCCCTTTGAGGACTTTTTTTATCCAGGGAAACAAAAAGTCACTTGGGGCAAGATTGGGTGAATAGGGAGGGTGGGGCACAGGGATCATGCTGTTTTTGGTCAAAAACTGTTTAACACTCAGTGCTGTGTGCAGGTGCATCGTCATGGTAGAAGAACCAGTCACCTGTTTGCCACAACTCAGGATGTTTCTTCTACAAATCATGACTCAACCTTTTCAAAACTTCCAGATAAAAACTTTGGTTGACTGATCCAGAAAAACAAATTCTGAGTGTACTACAAGAGTCCCACACCCCAAAAGATAGTACTAATTTTTTTTGGATTCCCCTCCCATGTAGTAAAATAATTGTTTCATTTATTATATGAGAAATTTAAATGAGTTTTACATTCTCCCATTTTGAAATTCTCCCTTTGATTTCTGCTTTATATGTAACTTGATGCCTACTACCAATGTGTATAGTTAATAATGGAATAGTTTTCTCCAGATTATTTTTGGGCAACAAAAATTCTTTTTGTTTTCAAGAAAGAATAAGGTATGAAATCTAGTGTTTGTCAATTGTATTTTAAAGTATTAAAATTAAATTATCCTTGACATATTAATACTTCATAGGATTTTCTTTGTGTCCTAACAGGGCTGGCTTCTTTTTCCTTTTCTTCTTTTCAACATCTTTATTGAAATTGCTGGCAGTTAAAGCATTGATGTGGAGGGGAGACAGCTGCCAGTTCTGGTTTTTCTTTTGTCTTTTCTTTTTCATGGGCATCTCTCTGAGGCTTTAAGATGTCTTATCATATTCCTTTTCTTTTTTGGGATGTCTAAAAATTGTGGGTAGTGGAGCATGATTGTAGCTTGTATTCAGCTTTAAAAGTCTTGAACACTGACTGCAGAATTAGTTTTGTTGGGATAATGAACATATTTCTTAAATTAATTGATGCAATTAATGTAAGTGAAGTACAAAAATTTTAAGGCCTTCATGTTTGTCTCCAAGTTAAACTTTCCTTTCTTATCCTCCCCTTCATATCCTCTCCATACAGACTAAAGTAGTCTGGAGCCCTGGCATATTTTGAGGATTTGCACCTTACTCTGCTTGCTCTGCTGTCTTTCCCTTCTTTTGTCCCCTAACCTTTCATAATGGAATATACTTGTTTATCTAAGTTGCATCTTTTCTCTAAGGCCTTGATATTCTTTTTGTTAGCTGTTTCTGTTATTTGTTTTTGGACATTGCTTGTTTTTCTCTTTGTCGTGTATATTTGCCATATTGTTTCAAAGTAATCCACCTATTAAAATGTGATAAAATAGATGAAATAAATATTTGAGTAAATCCTAATCCTACATTAAAAGTCTATTTCTGACATAATGTTAGAGGCAGTTGTAGTGCAACTTCAATTTCTTTGAAATGGAGAACTTTTTATTAAGATAAATGGAAGGCTATGTCTATCTAACCTAATTTTTAAGAATAGAATATGCTTTTCAAACTGTTACCTTTTTTAACATTCTAGTTCCACTTTGCTGGCTTTTATCATGGAGTTGTTGAAGAATTCAATTGCCATGCAGGAGCAGATGCTTGCTTGTAAGGGCTTCTTGGTAATAGGATATAGTCTTGAAAAGGTAAAGTATGAAATATTTTACATTTCTGATTTGTAATTTATAGGCCATGCACTTCTTCTCCTAAGTGGTTAAGTGATTCTGTCTTCAAGTATGTCTTCTTGGTTACAGAAAATTACCTATAGAAATAACATTTTGTTGTTTTACCTTGCCTCTGTTCTTCTATTAAAGAGATGTGGCAGGGAGCTTCGTGATGTCCTTAACTTTGAGGATAGTTTGTGGACTGCCAACAAATTAAGTTATTGGTATTGACAGTTTATTTATTTATTTTTTCTTTGATCCATGAATGATGTCTGACATTGTTGGGTAGAAACTCCAATGGTATATATGTTATGTATTTCCCAACATTGTGTGACTTGGGGTTCTTGGATTAACAGTGTGATTCTCTAGGAGTGATTTTCTGTCTGTTGATTAGGACACTTTGATTATGATAAATGCATCTGAGACAATTGACCCTGGTGTAAGGAAGGTAAACTCTCAAGTCAGATTACCCGAGTTGGAATACGAGTGCCACCTTTTACCATCCATGAGCTCTTAGGAAGATTGAAAGTTCTTTCTATGTCTTTATCTCTTCCTTTATAAAATGAAGGAGTAGTTACCTTTTCTAGACATTATGAGGATAAAATGAGTTAGAATACGTTATTTAAAATGGTGCCTAGTACACAGTAAACTTCTAATCAATGTTGCTTTATGGGTTGAATAGTGGCCTTCAAAAGGTATGTCCACCTGCAACCTCAGAATGACTTTATTTGGAATAAGGGTTTTTACAGATATAATTAAGGTAATTATCTCAAGATGGGATTATTCTAGTTTAGGGTGATCCCTAAATTCAATGACAGGTGTCCTTACAAGACAGAAAAAAAAAAAAAGAAGACCCAAGGACACAGGGGAGAAGATCATGTGAAGAGGGAGGTAGGGATTGGAGTGATACCTCTATAAGTCAAGGAATGGATATTGATGGCCTTTACATCACATACCTTGCCTTTAATTAGAAGTAACTTTTGAATTTCTTTCTTACAGTCTTCTAAATCTCATGTCAGCAGAGCAGTACTTGAACTTTGCCTTGCATTTTCAAAATATCTGAGTAACCTGCAGAATGGGATGCCCCTTCTCAAGCAATTGTGTGATCATATTCTTCTTAACCCTGCTATATGGATTCATACTCCAGCTAAGGTAATGTATATTGTTTTTGTATTACTATTTTTGCTAAATTTTTGTGCTTAAGAAGAGTGATGACTATGAGGGTTTTCTTTTATCTTTCTACAGTGTTATGCAGGTTTTTGGTGAATTGCCTTTTTTAACTAAATATACTTTTTTTGTAAATTTTTTTATTGAAAAAATTTCAAATAAATATACATAGTTTTTTCTTTTTCTTTTATTGTAAAACAATGTCATTATTTAAAAAAATACAGCTATGGTCTTTATTTTCTGATACTAAAGATAGTTTTATTTGAGAAAGATTTTGTTTACTTAATACAAATCAAAATTGGATAGTTTCAGTGTAAATATAACGTTTCTTAGCACCTTGGGTTCTCTTCTGTTTATTCATTTATTTTTTCTTTGTTTTCCATTCCTTAACAACTCACTTGACTCCTGCTCTCTCCCTTTTCTTTACTTTTGTCTTCTACCAAAGTGGCGTACTGTTGAGTTTCATTCTTACAGGTACCAGTGAAATGTAACCCTTTCCTTGAAGATATGCTGGTCCCATTTAGTCCTATTAATTGAAGGTCTAAAACCATATTTTTACCAAATAATGTTTTAGTTTTATAACAACAAACCAATTTCTTCTATGTGAATATAAATGAATTTGTGATAAGGTATATGAACAAAATCTTTAATAAATCCTAATGTATTGAAGTCTCCTAAGAATTTAGTAATGGTAATATTAAGCAGAATTTGAAACAGCAATTATTATTAAATTGCATAATTGTATCCATCTTGTCTACAATTTTTGTCAGACCCCTTTTGGTCCACTTACAGTGTATATCATTGTTTAAGTTGGAATAGCACATACTTATTCTAGTTGTCAGAAAAAAATGTCTGCAGACTTTTTTTTTGCTTTTCTAGAGCCATAATATCTTATTTTCAGCTGGTCTTTTCAAATGTTAAAGAGAAAAGCAGCTGCTGACTCTGATTGCCATTTGGAAATAATCAAAGGAGGCAGCTGGAGGTTGTAGCTTTTTATCTCCAAGTTAAATTTGACCTCTTTTTCTTCCATGACCTTCAGTCTTATTTCTTTTCAAGGATTGTTTCAAGTTATTTTTTAAACCTTTTACGAGACATTTTTTTGTCTTACTCACCAGCATATTTGTAAGGCTTTGCATCTCTTTTGATGTGGTCAGAAAGCTTCTTATTAGATACTTAGTTGCAGCGGAATTAAGAAAATTTCATCCTATGATTTTCTTAGTTCCTAGTATTATTTCACTCTATTTCTTACTTTTTAAATATTTCTACTTTTTAGTAACTTTTCTTTTTGGAATTTGCAATTGATTTAATAATATTACATTTTCCTTCTGTTTTAGCTATCTGCTTTGGGTATCTTTAAAGGGTTTTATCTACTTTTATTATAAAGGTAGTTGTAACAAAGGACAGATCCAGATTTTGCTGGGCTTGAAGGTCATATAAATTATTGTTCTGGGAGCTCTTTAAGAAAAAGAATACAATATAGTGTATACAAAATTAGGTTTAGGGTCTGGGAAGGAGCTTGTATAGATCAGTGGTTATAAAGTTTATGCTTTATTAGCTTTATGGTTAACGACCTCTGGTTAACAAAGTTGAAGGCTTGGATGTGTGAATATGCATAGCTTAGCTTTCAGAGAAGGAAGCTAACAGTGATTTATAATTTTCATTTGTCTTAGATCTGCCCAGATACAATCTTTTTAATGACCTAGCAGGAGAGAGACCTTTCTTGTCTCCTTCATTTACTCAACAAGTATTTGTTGAGTGACTACTTTATGCTGGGCATTATGGATGCAGTGGTGACCAAGATAGACTTGCTTCTTGCCTTCATAGAATTTGGATCTATTGGGAAAGACAGATATTGCACATAGTTTGTGTGGCTTTTAGAATATGTAATGAGTGAATGAGGGAATGTTTATTCATAATTAGCATATTATTAATCTTGAGGTCTTCACTTTCGTTTCTGTAAGAAATCCTATTCATTTTTCTTTTACCATGGTATAATTGTCAAGAGACTCACTTCCTCCATTTTTCCATTTGTTTAATTTATAACTTTTCTACCAGTATTCTAATATGTTCTTAACATATGACCCTCATCAGATTATTTCTTAGTTCCAACACATTCCGTTTCCCAGTGTCCTCAGAATGAAGTGAGACTGCTGTCTTGTATTAAGCCTTCATGTCAGTTCTCCTTTCTAGCATTTCTAGCTTAATGATTCAGCTATCCTTAGTGGATAGGCAGGTACTAAAAGGTTTTCCTAGTGCAGCAATTCTCAATTTTGGCTGCTGGGAGAGGTTTTTAAAACAAAAACAGAATTCCATGCGTTTCACTCCAGATTCTAATTTCATTGGTTTGGGGTGGAACCCAGGCATCAGTATTTTTAAAGATATTTTCCAGTTATTTTAATATGCATTCAAGATTGAGAACCATTGTTCTAGACCTTGGGAAGCCTTTCACTTCAACTACCATTTTTCTAGCTTGAAATTTACTCTCTTATTGTATCTACCTACTACTCATTTTCAAAACCTACCTATTATTATTGAAGCTTGTCTTCACTGTTTCAGCTTATCTGTTCTCTGAAGTCATAGTATTTCATAGCTCTTTGCCACTATGTATTATTTTGTGACCTTTTTAAATGTTTCATTAGGTGTATTACTTTTGACTTTTTTTGCTTAAATTTATGCGTATTTTTTATCTTCTCCACTGTATTTCAGCTCCTCAGAGACAGCATATATGCCATTGTATTTCCATGCTTCAGTGCTGTGCATACAGTTAAATGTAAACATTTGCTGAATGACTGAAATAACATGGTTAAGAAATTGAACCATGTCATAAAAAGTGTTATGTTGCCTCAGTGACAAGTGGATTGTACCTATCCATTTGAACAGCAGTAACTACATCAAAATAATGTCATCTTGCAGCAAATCAGTAGATCGTAGTGTGTATATAGTTTTCTAAATTCTAACAATATTGTAAGCCCCCCTTTTAAGTGGTTCAAAACTTGGCACTTTTTACCTTGTGGGATTACTTGTTGACACTCTAATTCATTTAGTTTTGATTGTTTATTGTAGGGCATCTGGAAGATAGACACCTAATTTTCACTCTATAAAGAAATTCCCAGGTGACATAGAGATATCTTGCAGAGTTGAAAATGAAAATGCCCTCAGTGTCTAGGAAGGCAACATTAATATTCAGTTGTGTAAATGATCAGTAGTTTTGTCAGTGGTCAAATAGAGTATATATGCTGTACTTGTTCAGGTGTTCAGTTCATAAGATATATCTGCTAGCAATAAAATGAAAAATTATTGATTTCGGCATGAGAGCAGAAGTAAAGTCCTTATTTTGTACTGCTTTACATAGTGGAGTATAGCTGTTGATGAATTTTACAGGCATAATTTCACTGAAATTTTTTGTTGGGATGAAGTATACAGTGGTGGGGGAGAACTAATATTCTTTCTTTTGCATGTGAAGAGCTTATATTTTGAACATAATATAAATATATATAACTTCTTATGTGTTTATTTAGACTGTTTATTAATGAGACTCATAGAATCCTTTCCTAATAGAGGAAATTATATTCATGTTTAGAGATTATAATGTTATTAAAATGCTAGATTAGAATATTTGGAGTAATGAACTACTATAACAGAATTCTATTTTTCTACTAAATATTCCTCAGGGTAAACTCTACATCTTTTTCTGTGGTTTTATTTATTTTGATTTATTCCTATTTTCCCCGTTTGAGTTATTACCACTTTTTAAATCTCTTTTGAGTCATTTCAGCTTCTAATTTTCTGCAAAAGAAAGAAAAAGTTTAGCTTTTAAAACTACTATGCACACTGTAAGTAGTATGCTTTTTTTATGAAGAAGTTTCACGGCCGGGTGTGGTGGCTCCAACCTGTAATCCCAGCACTTTGGGAGGCCGAGGTAAGAGGATTGCCTGAGCCCAGGGGTTCAAGACCAGCCTGGGCAACTTGTTGAGACCTCATCTCTACGATATATCAAAAAATTAGTCAGGTGTGGTTGCGCGTGCCTGTAGTTCTGGCTACTTGGAAGGCTGAGGTGGAAGGATCGCCTGAGCCCAGTGGATCGACGCTGGGGTGGCTGAGAGTGTGCCACTGCCCTCCAGCCTGGGCAACAGGCTGTCTCTGACCCTCCCCCCCAAAAAGAAGTTCCACACCCAAGTGCGTGAATAATTGCTGATGACTAAATAGGCATCACAGAGTTATTTCCATGGAATAGTGCTTTGACTATTTGATATGTTTGGCAATGTGTGCTTTATAATGCCACTGTAAAGAAGAAATTACTTTGGTTTTATAAGGACTGTGTGCACATGTGCTTCTCTGTCAGTGGATATGTGATCTAACATGGATATTATCATCAAGCTCAGCATCTTACTTTTTGGAACAAGTATGTTGCAAATTAAACAGCCTCAAGGTGTGACTGGAGGCAGGCAAAATGCTGATAGGCTGCTTTGATTTCAGTTATTCATTTTCATTCTACAGGTTCAGTTGATACTCTATACTTATCTGTCCACGGAATTCATTGGTACGGTTAACATATATAATACCATTCGGAGAGTTGGAACAGTGCTGCTCATCATGCACACACTGAAGTACTACTACTGGGCAGTGAATCCTCAGGACCGAAGTGGTATCACCCCAAAGGGATTAGGTATATCATCTCTGTCTATATATTGCATTACACATATGGCCGGTCAGAACTTGTTTTTGTTTTATCCAATACTGTCATGTTATTCAGGCAGTCTTTCTAAATCTCATTATGGCAAAATTTTATTTTGCTCTCATAGATAATTTTAATAGTTTGTCCTAAATTGTGGTTGCCAGAGTTTAATAACTTGCTGCTTGTATGGGAATAACCCTGCTTGTGCTGGTATGAGTTATTTGAGGAACAAATATGACTAGAATGGCTGTTGTAAGGCACTGACAATGAGAAGAAATTCTTAATTAATTATTGCTATTGATGTTGAGATAAATTATCACAATGAGATTCATTGAAAACAGTGTTGGGAGATAGAGATTTCTTGCAGAAATGAGGGGTATCTGCATCTTTTAAAGATATAATGTAATTTATAATATTCTAGTAATAATTTTTCTAACAATCAGGACTAACAGGATAGTATTCATTTATCATGTTGCAGTTCAAGGAAGAGGTCAGAGCAAAACTTGGCACATGGTGGCTCTTTTGACTGTAACTATTGCAAATTCTTCTTCAAACTGGCTTATGTCCAAAAATGGAGGTAATCAGGTTGTGTAAACTGGCGGTTTCAGGTACAGCTCAGTACAGGTATTCAGAATATGGACGAAATAACTAATCTGTTTTACTACACTTACCAGTTCTTCTTCTACATGGCTATTTTCACATATTCTCTCCCTTTGTAGTAGCAAGCAGCCAGCTCACAGTCACATTCTCAAACAACTTTAAATCTAGCATAAGAGCATCTGCCTTTACCACATATTTCCAGTGAATTTTTTTTTTTAGTCTCTTTGTTGCTCATTGGCTCTGATTGTATCACATGCCCATCTCTGTGGTAGTAATTGTTTGATTGCTTAGACTTGGACATACCTCCCACCTTGAAACAAATGCTCCAAGAATGAAGATGACTTTAGCCCCTTGATAAAAATTAAGAGCTGTTAATTGACATTCGGAAATAGGTGTGGGGAAGTCAAATAACATACCTTCCCATTGTAGTCAGAGACTTTGGTTGTTCAGTGATTTGCAAAGACAAGATTTCATATTTCTGTAATACTGTATATCACTTTCAAAATAAGCTTGGCTTATTTTCAGATAATATGATATTTATAACTTAGAAAGCTGTGAGGATACAAAAATGTTTTATGATTTATTTAAGCTGGCAAGGTTGAGGAAGATCTGAAGCTAGGTCAGAACTTTCTGATGACTATTTCATGGTAATCTAGGTGTATCATGTATAGTCCTAGGTGCTAGTTATGCTTTCTGTCCTTCATTTTATGACCGATTAATGACCTTGGGAAAGTCTCATACTTCAAATGATAGAGCTGGACGAATTTTGTGATTCAGTTCTAACTCTTCAACCTATTCTTTGTCTAGTTATCATCATGTGGAACAAATTTTAAACAATTTTCTTCCTATTTTAATTGATCTGTTTAAGGCCATGGTGGTCCTATGTTTTGATGGTCTAGGAATGAGCTATAAATAGTGATTAGTGGGGAAAAATTATGAAATATATGAGGCAAACTGGTCCCTAACTTACGATCTTAGAACAATTGGTGTTTGGTTTCAAAGCTTTCTACTTGGGAATTATATGTTTGAGACATGAAAATTGATTTAATGTGAGCCATGTGTGACCAAGGACTTTTCTAAGATAGAAGGAGATGTCAGAGAGAGTCAGCATGTTTCCCTTCTCCGTAAACTGTACTATGTGGTGAGGCACTCTTTTTTAAGGTTTTTGTGTTAACTTATACAATGGTAACAGTGGAAAAAATTTTTTATGTTGAACTCACATATAATGTTCAAAGTTTAGATTTTCCTTTGTCTTTTTATTTGTTAGCTTCTGTTACCTTACTCCAAAGGGTTCTCCAAAGGGTTAAAATATAAATATGTGTTATTATTGAATACACATTTTATTTTTTAACTTCATTTTTATGTTTTGGAAATTCTTTGACCTATTCAAAGTATAAACTTCTTCACTGTAGTTTCAATGTAATATGTTTTGTCCTTTTGGTGTATATATGCATGTAATATGTGAGATTGAATGTCTGTCTTTCTTAGAGGCATAAGAGAGAGATTACTCTTTAGTAGACTGACCTTAATGTGTCTTATAAATAAATGGAAAAACTATTGGCAATGAGAATTTTGTATGTTGACAGCTTTGAGGACTTGAAATACTAAGAGTGTGTGTGTGTATTTTTTTAAAGATGGACCACGACCTAATCAAAAGGAAATGCTTTCTCTACGAGCATTTTTGTTGATGTTCATTAAGCAATTAGTGATGAAGGTGAGTTCATTTTGCTTATCATTATGCTGTGTATTGTAGCTTATACTTTCACATGAAATATAATCTTGGCTTATTTATTTTTTATTTTGTTACTAGGGTAACACATTGGAAAATCCTTTGAAAGATACTTCATTATGTTTCTTGATTCTACTTTCTTTTGTGCATATATAGGTATAAATTATTGCAGAATTGGAGATTGGTAATTATATGTTACAAATTTCTGTAGGAGCTCAAATGCATTCATTATTTCATGCAGCAAATATTTACTGAGTTTCTGTTAAGTGTTGGGACTATTCTTGACACTGGAAATACAATAATCAACAAAGCTCCTAGAGGAGGTTTCATTTTTAGGAGGTTTCATTTCTTGTACCTTCAGGTATTGTACATTCAAGTTTTGAGAAATAGTGTTTCTGTATAATTGTGCCAAGTGGGTGTGTCACTCTTTATACATAGACAAGTTTTGTTCATCCTATTATAGGTAAAGTAAAATTTAATTTTTTAAGGAAAGCGTTTTAGTTTAATAAGATAGCAATATATAAATGTATTTGTTACCAGTATTTTATTCAGCATTCTCCTATTTTTAAAATTCTATACATTTTAATGCTTGTAAAAGCTTTTATATACAATTATTACAAGTGGGCGTAATTTTTAGTGTACCTCATTTCCATTTATCAGTAAAAGTATCCTTTGAATTAATTCTGTTTTTCTGCTCTGTCCCAGTGTGTATTGTTTTTTGAATTCTCTTCTTGTTTTCATTGGCATTGCATATTTTTTAGTGGATAATATATTGATAGAGTAGGTTGAAAATTTTCATATTGAGCTCATAGTTGAAAGTGCAGTGTTTTCCCCCAGTTAAATTGCTATTCAATTTTTAGGTACTTGGCATTTTAACTTGATAATTTTAGAAACTGTTCATTTTATTTTCCAAATCTAATTTTAAACAGAAAAGATATCTTCTGTATTTGGAGAAATGGTGGTGTGAATATTATCTTGTATTTATTATTACTTATTTTTTTGTCTACTTCAGGATTCTGTAGCTTTACTAAAGTAAGTTATCTAAGGTGTTGAAAACAGGATACTGATATTAAATCTTTTTTGACTTCTACATGGTCTTGAATACTATATATGTCTTTAGTGTCTCCTCAAATTTTTATTTTAAACTCTATATTATATTATCTTTTTATATTTATAGCAGCTGACCAACTTGACAAATCTATGTGTATAATTTTCTTTGTTAAATTTTTTAAACATATGTAAGCATAAGATAATTGTATTCTGTTTTAAAAGGATTCTGGAGTAAAGGAAGATGAATTGCAGGCCATTCTCAATTACCTACTGACTATGCATGAGGTAATATTTGAAATTTCATATTTCAGGATTTTATTTTTTGAAGCTACATTATGGATTTTTTTTTTTTTTCATTAATCAGTATTTTTTATTATGGTTTTGTGGGGTACAGTTAAGGGTTAGGTGTACAATGACGTTTCATTC